GAGAATCTGCAATGTGATGAAAAGGACTGAATAAACAATGCGGTACGAGTAGAATCTCGACAAGCAATGTACATTCTCATTCATACATAAAGATGCTGAAGAGACCTGACTGGGACTGACCTCATTCACGTAAGGATCAAGTAGCGAAGCAGAGGGCTAAAATACTATCATCTAGCCCAACCAATGTTTGAACTCAGACTACACATGCATTGTATCCATCACTCAGTGTGAAGGAGCCTGACGCTGCACACAAGAAGAAAGCGCTAGGTCCAGACATACACCGACGAAGAGGAAAGGAGCAGACGAAAGGAGGGAGAGAGATGGGAATGTCGTTAACAACAAGTCTTGGTCACCAATCCCAAATAATCCCTCGTTACCATGTTCGAAGTCCCCAAAAGTCGAGTCTGGGTCCAATGTCACCAAGCTCGGTATCTCTTCTCTTGTAGTCTGCAACTGCAGGGAAGTCAGATGTGGAGAGGGGTAGAAGAAGATGGTGGACTGAGAAGAGGAAGAAGAGAACTCTCTCTCTCTCAYTGTTACGAACCAGGTACTAACCTGTGATGTTGGCGCTGCGCTGCAGGTACCTCGAAGACGAAGCTGGAGCAACAGCGCTGCAGGGAAGTGCTTCCTGGCCTCCGCCCATCCTCTCTCTACCACTATCTAGCTATGGCGCCCAGCGCCGAAGATTACAACTACCTACTGCGCCCAGCGCTGAAGACTACCAGCTAACGCTACCACTACCACTACAGCGCTCCCTCCAGAGTGCTGCTCCCGAATCCTGAAGACTACCACTGACCGACTGCCTACCTCGGAAGTGCCTGGGAAGTCCTATGTACTACCTCGGCCTGCCTCCTGACTACTGGAGGGCGAGTCAGGCCGAGGAGGCAGCTCTTGCCAATGCCGAAGTGTGCCAGGGGCTGGCGTGCAGTAGCCTGCTGAGGCTGGCGTGGGAAACAGACTAATAATAGTCTGTTCCTGAAACCCTGGTTCGGTGCCTGAGTTTTAGGGCCGGTCGTTCTGATGAACGACCGAAAATGGCCCTTGGGTTCAGGCTAAAAAGGTTGTTGCCATTTTTAGTCTGAACCGTCGCAGGGGCTGTAGACCCTGAAGTTCAGGCTTTTGGACTGAACCGACATGGGGCCTGTAAGCCCTGGATTTCAGGCTTCCGACCTGAAATTCAGGTTTTTGGCCTGAACGACGTCGGGCCTGTAAAATGGCCCATGTGTGCACACGCAGCATGTAACACCCCCCCCTCCTTATGAAGTCAAGCCGGGGCGAGGGCGAAGCCGTCGATCTGAAGGTGGAACCTGAATGTGGGCACGGCGTGGAGCTGAAGGTGGAACCTGAATGCGGGCACGGCGTGGAGCCGAAGAAACCGGCTTGCCTTGCATCTTGCGTTTGTAGCGTGCGAGAACGTCTAGAGCTGTTGCTTGAAGTTCCGCACGGGTTAACCAACGGTCAACTCGGTGGGTGCAGTATGCAAAATGCACCAAATACTCAGTTGGCTTGTTGCCGTAGCGTCGCTGGGAGATGATGTCGCCAACCTCCTGAAAACCGTCCATAGAAGGTGGGTCTTGCGTACGTCTCCCCGGAAAATCGTCATGTTCCGCTGGTGTGTAGAGAGCCAATTTGGAACAATGAAAGACTGGGTAGACGGGCAAGTGGCTAGGCACCTGAATCGTGAAGGAGGGTCTTTCGGGTGCGTCCCCAACGGGCTCTATGATTGGCCAAGGCCCCATCCATTTCGGAAGGAGCTTGCGAGAGATGTCTTGTTCAAGGCTGAATTCCGCGACGGAAACCCACACGAGGTCCCCGACGCGGAATGGACAAGGAAGACGTGGCGATTGGCCTGCTGGCTCATGCGCTGCTGCGTCTTTGCCATCTGGTCGCGTGCCTTGACAAGAAGCTCTTGCATCGGACGCAAGAAAAGAAGATGGTCGTCGCTCTCGGTCGTGCGTGGAGTAATCGTGTCCCCAACGGTGATGTGACTGGCGAGCCGTGCTCGAACTTGAAGGGCGATATCCCAATAGCCAGGTGGATAGAAGAGTTGTAGGCCAACTCGATATCCAGCAGTCGCTCAACCCAATCTTTCTGGTCGGGTCAGGTGAGAGTGTGAAGGAGAACTTGTGCGGTCTGATGCGCCCTCTCCGTCTGGCCATCGGTCTAAGGGTGGCGAGCTGAACTGGGCTTGAGAGATGAGCCCCATCGCTTGATGAGCGCCAACCAAAAATCGGACATGAACCGAGTGTCGCGGTCGCAGACGATCTCTTTGGGGTAACCCTTGGTTCGAATCCAACCGGCGTAAAGAACCTCGGCCAACTCCGGTGTCTTTGCATGATAGCGACAAGGCAAAAACATGGCGAACTTGGTGAGTCGGTCGACCACCGTGAGGATCCCATCCACTCTGGTCTTGTGCTTGGGGAACGGGCCGGTAATGTTCATGGCAATCTCTTCCCTTCGCCTCAACGGGACTAGCAATGGTCGTAACTCGCCGTACTGACGATGGTTGCGGGATTTGCAGCGTCGGCAAACCTCGCATGACTCGCAATAGCGAGTAACGTCGCCAAGAAGGCCAGGCCACCAAAATCACTGGCGAAGTCGGCCAATCGTGCGATTGACTCCAAAATGTGCGGTGGCGGGAGCGTCGTGAACTCGCCAAGAAGCCGTGTACGCAAGTGGGGATCACTCGGTATGCAAAGAAGGTCCTTCCCCTGCGTGTGGACAAGCAAGTACCCCTCTTGGATCCGGTAGTGAGAAGGAGCCGGATTAGGAGAGGAGCAATTCGCGTACTTGTCGCAAAACTCGGGGTCGGCTTGGTAGCTGCGGATGAAGCTGTTCCGCAGGTCATCGTCAATCTCGAAAGTCGAGTAGACCGCGGTACAATGATCCGGACGCCGTGAGAGAGCATCCGCAAAACGGTTCGACTTCCCGGGAATGTGATCAGGAAAGAAGTCGAACTGGTCGATGAAAGCCATCCATCGAGCGATGGTTCTGTTGACGGTGTCTTGGGTCTTGTAGAAGACCAACGGATTGTTGTCCGTTACCCAGCGAAAGTGGCTTCGACCAAGGAGGAAGTGCCGCCACCGCTTGAGCGAGTGGACGAAGGCGAGGAGCTCCTTCTTGCGTGCATCGTCAATGGAATGCACGAGGGGCACTTTCTTGCTGAAGTACTCGACCGGGTGCCAGTCCACACCATCATGTTGCTCGAGGACTGCACCAATGCCATAACCTGACGCATCCATAGTGACACGCGTAGGCGCGAGCGGGTCGTAGATTCGCAAGACCTCCGCAGACAGTAGCGCGGCTTTGAGAGCGAATGATCCCCGCGCCTCCTCTCCAAAGTCAAACGGTTGATCCTCGCACTGAAGCTTGTTCAAGTGGGCCGCGATCTTGGAGTAGCCTTTGATGAAGCGCTGATAGTAGCCGGTAAGACCGAGGAACGAGCGAACATCCGTGACGTTCCGAGGCTCCGGCCACTCCTGGACGGCCTGAATCTTGTCCGATAGCGGACTAATGCCCTCCGGTGTGACAAAATGGCCCAAGTATTCCAGCTCTTGCTCTTGCTGCTCTTGCTGGACAAACTCACACTTGTCGCGGCTTACCTTGTACTTGGCGCAGCGGAGCACTTCCAACACGCGTCGAAGATGCCCCAGATGCTTCTCCAATGACCGGCTATAGACAAGAATATCGTCTAAGTAGACCAGCACGAACCAGTCCAGCATTGCACGAAACTCATTGGTCATAGCCGCCTGAAAGGTCGCCGGGGCGTTGGTGAGGCCAAAAGGCATGACCACCCACTCAAAATTCCCGTACCGTGTCTTGAACGCGGTCTTGTAGCGATCGTTCGGCTGGATCGAGATTTGATGATATCCCGATTTCAAATCCAGCTTGGAAAAATACTTCGCACCGCCCAGTCGCTCAAGAAGATCGTCAATGCGAGGAAGAGGCCCCGCATTCTTGACGGTTTGCGCATTGAGGTTGCGGTAGTCGATGCACAATCGTAGATCCTTGTTCTTCTTCCTGACGAAGAGAACTGGTGCTCCATACGGGGAGCTACTTAGGCGGATCCAGCCCTTGGCCAACAAATCGTCGAGTTGTGCGCGGAGTACCTTAAGCTCCTCCTTACCCATCCGATAGATGCAACCTTTCGGCGGCACGGCACCGGCCTCAAGAATGATCTCGTGAGAGATCGGCCGATCCGGCACCACACCGGTAGGTGATTCGAAGATGTCGGCGAACTCGTCCAGCAACCGCACCACACGGGGGTCCGAAGACAAGCCCGTGGGTGAAGGGTCGGCTACCGCGACGGTCCGTAGGAAACATAGGCCGATCTCCTCAGGCTGCTCGTGAGCGCAGGTCGCCCGAAATGATTTGGCCGTCACCACTTGGCACCGGATCGAAGGGTGCGGTAGAGGAATAGTACACGCCACTTCCTTGCCGAAGGCGTCGCGAACGCTAAGAGTCCGCCGATGGAAGTTGACCGTGTGATCCGCACTTGCAAGCCAAGGCATTCCCAGAATGATGTGAAAGTCCGTGTCGAGAACATCGAATGTTACCGGTGCGCATGCATGAGATGCGAAGTAGACCGGTACGGCCTCGATTTAACGGTCGAAAAGTTGCTGCATCTTTCCATCCGCCAACTTGATCGTCGTCGGGTTTGCCTTCCTCCGAACTTGTGTGCCAAGGTCAGCCCTTTGCATAAAGGATTGGCTCATGAAGTTGCGAGTCGCGCCGCTATCCAGCAAAGCGCTGCAGGACGCTTGCCCAACCTGGATGCGGACATATATGAGCGGTGCGTGGTTGTTATCGTACCGCTGCGTGCGAAACTCGCGGGCCACCTTGGTAGCATATGCCAGGATGCCCCCCACCGCGATTTCGTCATCCGTCGGCGAAGTTGGTGGTGCATAGAAGGATAGGTAAGTGTGGAGATGAGCGCTAAGTGTTGCGCATTGCGGTCCCGACAAACAGCCTGTGGTCGGGAGAGGAAGCCATGCAAAGTCCTCAGACGTGAGCGGGTCCAATGCCTCTATATTGAACTCGCGCGCCGAATCCCGTGACGAACCACTTGAAGACGATATGTCATTGTTGCCGGACGGAGAAGAAACCGCACACACTCCTTGTCCTTGAGCTTGAGTACCCAACGTTGGAACGAGCCGGGCAGCATAGTCCTCGAAAGAAAGTAGAAGCGGAGGACTGTCGACTTCCGCGTGTGGCTCGGAATGAAGGCTGGTTACTCGCGAAGAAATCAGTTCCGAAGGCGTTGAGAGTGTCGTCGAATCACTCTCGGCGGTGCTCAGTTTCCCTGTCTGCCCTTGCCTTTCAATGGGTAACCCTGCGTCTGATGAAGATCGGTGCTGCACCAAAGGCAATAGTGGAATCTCTCGCGCGCCTTGTATGCGGACTCGGAGATGCCATACTGGGTCCATGGGCCTGTCTGAGCTGCTGCACCGGGCCCGGGGCGAGAAACGGTGTGCGTCTTCGTCTTGCCGCGTCCTCGGCCTCTGCCGGGGCGGCCACCTTCCCGGGCGGTTGCGAATCTGTCCCCTTCACTGGCAGACACAGCCTCGCTGGTTTGGTCTAACGGCGCTGCCACTGCGACCACGGCCACTCTTGGCCGATGCTGGTCCCTGCTCGGGCCTGACGCAGATGAACGAAGGTTCTTGGCCTCCTTGTTCGTGACAATGATCTGCGCAGCCTTGTCAAATAATTCCATCGTCGTCGTCAAGGTGTTCTCGACATGCATCAGGGCATTGCTCAATGTCGGACATGACCTTGAGATGAAGTAGTGGCGGATGGCCTTGAAGCCTATCTGGATGTCTGGGACTGACGTCAAGCGTTGGTACTCGCCGATCCAGTCCGTACTCGGCAACGTGCCTTGCTGGAAGACCATGAGCTTGTCCATGGCTTTGATCTCTGGCGGCTCCACCTGGAACCGCTTGTGCCACGCCGCCTTCAGATCATCCCAGGTGATCTTGATGTGCACGTCGTTAGCTACCACTCCGTACTCGGACGAGTCAGGCCGACTGCCTACCTCGGAAGTGCCTGGGAAGTCCTATGTACTACCTCGGCCTGCCTCCTGACTACTGGAGGGCGAGTCAGGCCGAGGAGGCATCTCTTGCCAATGTCGAAGTGTGCCAGGGGCTGGGGTGCAGCAGCCTGCTGAGGCTGGCGTGGGAAACAGACTAATAATAGTCTGTTCCTGAAACCCTGGTTCGGTGCCTGAGTTTCAGGGCCGGTCCTTCTGATGAACGACCGAAAATGGCCCTTGGGTTTAGGCTAAAAAGGCTGTTGCCATTTTTAGTCTAAACCGTCGAAGGGGCTGTAGGCCCTGAAGTTCAGGCTTTTGGGCTGAACCGACACGGGGCCTGTAAGCCTTGGATTTCAGGCTTTCGGCCTGAAATTCAGGCTTTTGGCCTGAACGACGTCGGGCCTGAAAAATGGCCCGTGTGTGCACGTGCAGCATGTCACATACACACACACACAGAGAGAGAGAGAGAGAGAAAGAGAGAGAGAGAAAGAGTTTTCCATCGAACGGCAGAAAGTTGGGCTGTATGACAAGTTTCCGATATGCCCTGGTAACAGTCCTCCTAGGGCCAGGGGAACAGTAGCAAGGGGCATACTGAAAAGATGCAAGGTACCGGTAGGGGTATGTGGAATTGTTTTGGCCTTTGTGCTCAACGGCTATCCCGTAGGGGCATACCAGAAAATTTAATTTGGAACTGGTACCGGTAGGGGCATTTTGAACATATTTCAGGCCTAAGAGATGCCGGTTTTTTTCGGAAACTCGAATCATTGCAGAGGGGCACGACAGGGTAACTTGGCTGTCTGAGGGGCATGCCGCAAATAAATGGATTTCGGAGGGGCATTTCGAAAATTTTCCCGAAGGAAAAAAAAAGGAAAAAAAAAAAGAAAAAAAAAAAGAATTTACCTTAGACACTTACAGGCTGCCCCTAGTAACGGGCGCCTTCACTAAATCTGGGAGCTTCAGCTCCCAGCTTCTTCACTGCGCGCCACCTGCTGCCTTTGTTCTGCCAATAATACTTTTTCACTACGCGCGCCCATG